ACACACGGTATACCAATTACACATGGTATACCAACTACATACGGTATACCAACTGCACATGGTATACTAACTACACACGGTATACCATCTAAACACGGTATAACAACTACACGCGGTATACCAACTACACACGGTATACCAACTACATACTATATATAAACATACACACGGTATACCAATTACATACGGTATACCAACTTGACACGGTATACCAACTACACACGGTATACCAACTACACACGGTATACCGACTACATACTGTATAGAAGCAAACATAACGGTATACCAACTACATACGGTATACCAACTTCACACGGTATACCAACTACACACGGTATACCAACTACACACGGTATACCAACTACACACCGTATTCCAACTTCACACGGTATACCATTTTCACACTGTATACCACCTACACTCTGTATACCAACTACATACGGTATACCAACTACACACGGTATACTAACTACACACGGTATACCAACTACACACGGTATTCCAACTACACACGGTATACCAACTACACACTGTATACCACCTACACACGGTATACCAACTGCACGCGGTATACTAACTACACACGGTATACCAACTACACACGGTATACCAACTACACACGGTATACCAACTACACACGGTACATCAACTTCACACTGTACACCAACTACACACGGTACACCAACTTCACACTGTACACCAACTACACACGGTATACCAACTACACACGGTATACCACCTACACACGGTATACCAACTGCACGCGGTATACCAACTATACACGGTATACCAACTACACACGGTATACCAACTATACACGGTATACCAACTACAAACTGTATAGAAACATACACACGGTATGCCAACTACACATGGTATACTAATTACTCACAGTATACCAACTACACACAGTATACCAACTATACACGGTATGCCAACTACATACGGTACACCAAAGTATACATTTTTGTTTTATTTTCATTTCTATTGGTAAACTGTTTGTTAGATGCAAGTTTAACTTGATTCAAATCTAACATCTTAATGCCGGCACTTTCCATCAAGACGACATAATATATATTCTTACCTTCCCAGTGGTCGGGTGACGCTGTCGTTAATATTAGTTGCTGCGGCATCGAGAAGTTAGACGTCTGTAGCATTCTATGATTTTTTTTATTTTCCTTTTTCTCTCAACTTCTTAGTGAATCAGATCAGAATATATAACTAATCTTAAAAGGATACGGACAGAATCCGGAATTATTAATTGCCGATTTCCTTACCTCCCTTACTACAGCATTATCATCATATCACCCATTATAAAGCATGTATACAAGAGAGCAGTGGTAATGTTTTTTACTTAGACGTGCGAGGTTCGATTCCCGGAACGGGTGTTGAAATGTATTGGCTCATGATCACCTGTCCGACTACGTGGGTTTTCCAAGGGTACACTGATTTCCTCCCTCAGTAACAGCGCCCTCTGGGCCGAAACGAGTGATTTATATAAGCTGATAAATGTTAAAAACGTAAAATATATCAAGCATATATTTATACCTTACATTTAAACATTCGTATGCTGGAAAAACAATATGGTTTAGAATAATCCCGTCAGAGAATGATATTGTCTGTGACACAGATCACCTGGATACTTCGATCGTGGACGCTGATATACTTCTCCTCAGTGGTATGATATATACCGTAAAGACCGCGGAGACCGACAGGAGGTTGTTTACACTTCCAGTTTCTTGTGCACCTGACGTTGAGCTGATTTGGAATTCCATGTTGGTGAGATTATATGGACCAAACTCCAGTTTCAAAACAAGAAATATCTTCTCGGTATCGTATATTGACCTCCAAATAGTGCGCGCTCACTTTGGAATTACTTCCGACACTACGTAGAAAATCAGTTTTAAGGAAACTTCGTACAAATGTAATTGTTTGTAATGCTAACGATGATCTCTTAAATGTAGGTAATAATTATGCACGTGTTGATATACTTGAATTTTTCAACAGACTGACACGTGAAGAACACGTGAGCTCAACACTTCTTGATCCGATTTTACTTTCTGACACGTGCTGTCGTAATAGACATAAACAGCGACATATCTGACAATAAGGCGACAACGCCTGAGTTGACAATTGAAAGAGAGATGGATATATGTAAGGAAATAAAATGATACAATGACGCAAAAATTATAATTAGGGGATACGGACTGGGTGGAATTATTCCACTGACGATATGTTTGAAAATTTTACTTCATATCTCCACATTCTGAGGAATAATGCCGACTCAGATTTTAACGATTCGACCAAATGACAAACCCTGGTGTGACTCAATTTTACAGTGAGAAATTGGGGGGAAAATAGACAACTGAAATCATTTAAATCTCTCCGTTCACGTAGAAATCTAACAAATATCCGGAAAAGCATAATTATGTAATTTATCTTACGAAAACAAAAACAAAAATCTTTTTATGCGGACTTAAAAGGAATTATTGAATCGATATTCAAATTCAAATCCACGTTGTTTTAGGAAATGAGTCTATAAATTGGTATAACAACCGATGCTTCTAACGCTACGCCTCCTAATATAAACGTACATGGCAATATTGAACTGACTGATGAAGTTAAAGCTAACATCCCGAGTGACTGTTTCCTTCTCTATTTTTGATGACACTGATATTGAGGTACCAACATGTAAATGCCAGTTTCCCCACAGTCGTGAGGTTGTCCGCAAAACGTTGGTAAAGATCGTGAAAATGTTTCACCATAAAACAATAAAACACACACACACACACACACACACACACACACACACACACACACACACACACACACACACACACACACACACACACACACACACACACACACACACACACACACACACACACACACACAACCACACACCAACGCACACACACACACACACACACACACACACACACACACACACACACACACACACACACACACACACACACACACAAACGCCGTTTATTTCAAAATCTGATTTTTTTAAAAATGATGACCTGAGTTAAGCAAGGAAACAGGGGCAGGACAAAATGATCCTTACAATGCCTCATAATGATCATATCAGGACTGCTTGTAGCCAGTGCATATATCATATTACATTGTATGCAAAGCAGAGAAAAGAAGAATCATGTCAGTATAGCTACTACCAGTTTCACAGGCTCTTGTCATCTGTACACATTACACCAACTTGAATTACGAAGTGACCAAGCGCCTGTGAGAACGAGACTACATCAAACAATCCCATTTGTACAAGGGCGAGTAATCCAGCCTAACCGTGCCCCCGATTATGACGTCATAAAAAGAGGTAACTATTCTACCAACCTGATGACGTCATAATTGTGTCTCATCTGGTAACCATCAAACATCATAGACTATTGGCAAAGCGTTTGGGTATTATAATTGTGATGTTTGTGTGAGAGGCCTCACGGATATCTTGTCTACGGTAGGTAACAGCGCCAATTTGTTGAACAAGCCAATTTACGTCAGTGCACAAATTTCTTTGTTGAAAAATCTGATCAAATACTCGCTTAACTGTCAGTGTTCATAAAACTCGTTTTTGTGTAATTATCAGTACAACAAATCCACCGTTCATATCTTAACTATCAAATGATTTCCATTTAGATAATTGATTTTGAATAGGTCATTACTGTAAAACGGAGAATCCAAATGTATTTTTGGAGACTTGGAATTATGAACTAGCGCAAGCTGCTTCGTGAAAGTCATAAAAATTCAGCAAACATTTAATTTCCAGATTGATTTCATCGTTATTTTCTACGTAATATTTCCAGTAATTGTATAAAATGATGTTCATTTTCATGGCACAAGGAATTCTTTAATTAATATTAATTAGTTTTATTTTCACACCTTTGTTATTCTTTCAAAATGCAAAATAGTTCCAGTTGGTTGTCATGGTGATTTATACTCCCAATACCGTGGACAAAGAATACATAGTTTATTTTTGCGGCACAGTGAATTCTATAAGTTACTTTAACGGGGTGATTACCTTGATGTCTCTGGTTGGATTAAAACACGGGACTTCTGGCTTTCTAGTCAAACACTCAGCCGATCGCACTAAAGAGTTCTCCCTTGCCAAGCGATATATTGTACCAAGCTTTGACCAGGGTCTTTTATTATGGGACTTCAAAAATTCATTTGTGTGACAATTAATTATCGATCATCTCGTCTACTGAAGCATGAACGCATGTTTCGTTCTTTGGCAAATAGTGTTAAAATTAGGGCTATAGGCTAATTTTGCCGTTGGGTTAAATGAAGTCTTCGCAAGGGTGAAAATTAAACTTAAATCCAGTCTTCATGTGATAATACTCCAATTACGTACGACTACTACGGAGCTTCAATAAACTCCGCATTTTTTAAACATCTTTTATCTCTGCTTCTTTTTGTTGATTTGCCATACTGTGCCTCTTTGCATATTTTTTTTCGACGTTACATTAACCGTTGTATTCTTACTGAAGTCAGTTGGATGTTACTTCCAACGATAAAATATACATTATTCCAAAAGGAGAAAAATAATAGCACGTAAGTAGGTGTTGCCTGGTAGTTGAAATAAATAAATCTAAACATTGAACTTTTTAAGTTAGCACTCTTAGTATTATGCATGACATTCGAGTAAAAGCAAATTCAACATTGGATCTTGTTGACATTCATATACCAATGCATGTCAATTAAAGGTAATTCAATGCTCAAATCAAGGAACAATATCGTAACCGGAAGAGAACTTCTCTTCAGCTCGATCGGTTGAACGCCAAACTAGTAAACCAGAGATATGAGTTCGAGTCCTTGTGGAGGCAATGAAATAGATAATGACTTCTGTTATAATGTATCCCATATGTCATGCCTATTTAATTCTACATTCAATAATCAAATATAAAATATCTACGAACATTATAAGAGTGTATTTTGCTGAATATCCTGTTCATTTTTATCAAAACAGCGCAATACCGGAAGTTAAGATGCAACAAGGAGCGGTGGGCTGTAACCCACCTACAACACCGGAAGTGACTCCTGCCGGGACATTGCGCAACTGCAAAAAATCAGAACCACGTAAGTGTATTCATAGCTTTTTTTTATCGTCATTCTTTTAATCAAGATTTGTCGAGTCGATCTCCCTGTCTTCCTTTGCTTACAATTAACATGATTTCGACCACTTTCTTCATATAATATCCGACATATAGACTGTAACATACATGTACCAAAATAAAATGTCGAATTATGCAACGTACTTCAATTGTTGGGGCTGGAATGTCGTGATTCAAAAGAGGTATTAATTTCTCAGCAACTGATGCAGTGGATAAAACCAATGAAAATTTTAAATTTCACTTTTATTTAGACCTGAGCTGTGGTGATTCGTCTCAACCAACGATTCCAAAAACATACAAGGAGTGCGTGAATGACGAATCTGGATTGTTCCCAGCTGAGAATGAAAGACTGGCTACATTTCAGATTGGTGAACAATGTTTAACAGGAATCATCTTCCAGAAAACAAGCACATCTGAACGAAGTCAAACTCGGCAAAAGTCGGCAACATTTCCAAAAGGTGTGGAAAGGTGTCAAATTTGGATGTTTGTGCAAGGGAAATTTGTGAATTTTTCCTGTAATTTTGTGTAGGATTTTATGGAAAAATAACTACTTTTGAATATTTTCGAATCAATTAAGTAAGATCAGGAAATACCGAAATATTTTATTTCAAAATGCCGTGCGATATGTAAGTGGTTTACATGATGTATATTCACGAAATTTCAGAAAACAAAGAGAGAGCTCCCGTTGATGGCAGAATCCAAACATTCTCCAGACCCAAGTCTCACGATTGTACGTTGCCAGGCGTTGTTAGATCTGTTTCGCCATCAGAAGCAAATAAACCAACAGATACCATTAATACCATGGAAACGCTATGGAATTCATCCTACGGCCAGAATACTTCGTTCTGGCTTCCTGACGTCAGGGCAACGTCCAAAAAGAGTATCGGGTTCTCTGAATGCGGACACACAGCAAAGCAAAAATTCATGGCGCCCCTAGCTGATATGGACCACACTTGCTCAGCTGTGTGTGCGGATGATCCCGCGTGCGATACATGTCACAAAATGGTGGACACTATAGTTTCAGAAATGCCTTTTTCTAACGAAAAAAATACCGTCTCCTCCACAATCAGCACGGTCCATCATGCATCTCATGTCTTGCCTACAGCCTTTATAGCATCGCAACCGGAAGCTGGCACAAGCATGCGATTCCCATGTTACAATAAACTACCAAATTATTCTGTGGGTTCTGCGCTATTTATGGCATTTAGAAATAGCATATCTCCGATTCTGTATAACACGGAAGATATAAGTGTTTTAAAAATCCTAGCCAATGGAGATGTAAAGGGAGCCACCGATCTCAGAACATTTACTCAAGAAAGAAACGGATATAGCATCCCCCTCCATATCCCAACACGCCGCCCAACGGTCACTGGGCTGTCATCCACCTTACCAACATCTACCGCAGTCGTTATAGGCAAACCTGCCTTACAATATTTAGAAAATAACGACAAGGAATCCAACAGAACCCAAATGACAACAGATCAAGAAAACCAGGTAAAAATTTCGCTACAACACGGAAAATCGATCACTAATCCCAGAAAAGATTTGAATCAGACTCATTCCGGATTACCTCCCGTGCATATTCCATCCACCACGCCAATACTAACAGAATCCATGGAAACGTGTTCACAAACAGAACATGCATTGATGGCCTTAACGTATGAACAGCGAAAAGAGTCGGCGTTGCGGTCGCTCATTTTGACTACCATTGTTCCAGTGTTAGGCAAAGAAGCCGACGATTTGGTACATACCGAGATATTAAATGCGAACCGGGACACACAGAAACACGGCAATGAATCGGTCGTCACCGAACAGCCCAACAAATGTCCATATGTCGCAGCATCTCTCCCAGGAACTGCAATTAAGTCGAATCGCGGAGAAATTTTGCAAACCACGGAAACAGGAAATACTATAGTTAGGAAACCAGTCGTTGGTTCTCTGATGTCGCTTGCAAACAGACAACACGAAAGCAGCACGCGCACGGCGCTATCCTCATTACTCGTGAAAACCACAGCTGTAGTTCTAGGGGAGGAGGTGGCGGAAACGTGTGTTGAGCTGACGGAAATAGGTGGGTACTTCTGACAGGTTCGAGTATGTTTCACAGCCAAGAAGTGTCTGATAAATCCATACATAATAATGTATATGGGCGACGCATCCAAATTATTCGTTGAAACATTTTTATGCAAAAGGATAAAAATGTTCTACGGTGTCTTTTGAGAGAACAGAACTCAACAAACTGCTTTCAATGTCCTTTGTTTAATGGTTTTATTATCCGTTTATGTCGTATGGGTGATTTGCATTACAGTTGCACAGTACTTGCGACTTTCATGTGTGCAGACACCCAAAAGAAAGATTTGTGAAGTTAAGGAAACAAAAAAGTACACCATGAATGGACCATACATCAATCAATCAATAAATCAGTTATCTTTCTTTTTCCTGCTAGAACTATCAGATGATGTCCCTGACAAAACGGCTAAGGTCAACAACAGGTCTATTCTGGATATTTTATTTTGTGTAAGTATCCTGACATAATTTAAAGATTTGTTTGCGCAGTCTACATTCATCAACACTAGAATAAGGCATTTAAAACCTCACATTGTTTAAATGAATGTTTTAGCCGCCTTGGGGAATGGGGCGTTATCATTACTTGTTTACCAAACAAAAGGCGGACTTCGACCGGCTTAAGATTTGATATTGGGAGAACAATAGTACTTAAACAGTTAAAGTTGCTAGAGTTATTGTAAGTAAACTATCACAATAAAACAAGTCAATTCATGTTTTCAACTATTTCTGTGCATGTTTTTCTTTCCACAGAGACGGAGAAAATAAATCTAGCCAACGCGTATTAGCAGCAGAGGATCAAGAAAACCGGAAATACACCATCTTTCAGTTCACAATAAATAGATGATAATGTGAAAGTTATTTAATATGTTCTGTTGTTCTGTGTCTGATGACTTATGTTGCAGAAGTGTATTTGATATACTCAATTCCTGCCGACATCATGCGTTTCCCTAATTAACATAAATCCTATTGTTCCTTTACCGATTTTTCCGAAATTTTCCGTTTCCTCTAGACCGCGATCTAGTGTTCTGTAGTTACAAATGTAGCCTTTCATTCAGCCTTCGTGATGAAAATTATGGGACAGTTTCATGGTCACCATACTGATCTAATCGAGAAATATTCTGTTTGCTTGTGCGACATGAAGTTAGACGTATTTGATGCTCGTTAGTTTGTCTGTTGTTTCCGTTGTTGTATACCTTGCTCTCATTTTGATAACGTGATATTTCCTTCTTGGATTGACCAAGGTATACATGGCGGATGTTGTCGATCACGCAGAATATTCTTACTCTTCCGGAACATATGTTCTTTTTATTCTTGATTAACCTTGCTTTAAAGACATAGTTTCACTGCCATAGTAACTTTACTGTATCTTTAAGAGAACTCCAAACAGACATCGTGTGCGGAAGTAACATCTCGGCGATCTGACTTGTAATGGACAACACTATGATTATCAAGACAAGAGAATAGAATCCTCAGACCCGGATATATTGCCCCCAGTCTGCCAAACAGGCATCGTGGAAGACATACCTTTCACCACGGACAAGAGATAAGGATATCAAGAGGTGCAAGGTTGTCATGCATTTGGGGCAAAATTGACTAACAAAATCAAAATTCCACAACTATAATGAAAGTCCTGGATAAGAATATACCAATCATAAAATATCAACACTGTAAAATACATCGGATAGTCAGCAACACGCTCGGATACGAGACTTTTATATCAAAATGGTAGTGTATCAGGTCCCGACAAAGGTGTCAACCATAGACAGGATAGACATGACAGGCAACTGAGGCTATACGGAAATAACATCCTCAAACGAAGACAAACTATAACGAGACAGACTATAACGAATCTCATATATCTTATCATCCTTCACTGTGTACATCAAAGAAGCAATATATTAATGGATCATGCATCGTGCTATGGCTGAACAACAAACGGAGATTGAATTCAAAGTTGTACAAGGATGTTATGGAAGAATCGTGGCATTATATATGCTAGGACATATAAATCAACATAACATCCGTCGTGGTGTCCTTTATATTATGTTATTTGTTAGCTCTACCCCAGTAAAGACATTCGAAGTGGAATTTTTCTTCAACGTCGTGACAGTGTTATTTGATGTCTTATCGTCTTTCACATCTTGCCATATGACATGCAGGGAGCATATCAAAGTCGTTTGTTTGGCAACTGGTATTTAAGATACAACACAACGAGTTTTCTCTCGCTCTGGATCTGGAGCTGGAACTTGAGCTGGTTGAGCTGGAGCTTGCACTTGAGCTGGAGCTGGAGAGATTGGTGCAAGTTCTGGAATCTTCTGTTCAAGCAAAAAGTCAAATTTTGCGTCACACTCGCTTTCATCGGCATCGTTGAATACCTTCACGGCAAACTCGGTCCTTCCGAAATACATTTCGATGCGGTATTTAACGTGATCTGGCCACCCGTCAACAGGAGGGGTGACTTCTACGATACCAATCTGTTCACATGATTGATCAGTTGTGTATCTGCATGATTTGTCAGTTGATGCATAAAATGGGACTTTCATAACAATATTTTGTCTACTTTTGTCTTTATGTGACGAAAAGTATTGATCATGGATGCATTTTTCCGAAAATTCCAATATATCTCCCTCTGTCACTACTTTGCTAAATATGTTCTGACACATATCTCTCCCATCAATTTCCTTTCGATACTCCTCTCGGTGGAACCCCTCTCGGAATTTTCTACTGCAATCAATGCCGTAAGTATGTCGACACATTCTAGCTGACACAGTCCACGGGTCAAATCCAAACAAAACCGCCCCTTCCATCACTGCCTCCTCAGCTTTTGTCGGCACTAGTACCGTTTTATCAGAGAATCTTTCTCTTATCATGTTGGCGATGTAATCGGACTGAGCACAACCTCCAACCAACAAAATGAGTTCAATATCAGCCACTCTGCCAAATATGTCCTCCATATGGCTGATTATGTCATTCGCTGATTCAAAGAATGACCTGAAATCTTTATTTGATATATTTAGTTTGAATGATTGGGCAAAATCAATGTCCAATTCTCCTTCTGTGATGATAACGGGTGGTACTTGAAGTCGAATATTGTGTTCAGTCTTGCTTCTCATCTGTCTTTTCTTTGCTTCGAAAGAACATTCAAGAGCCATCCAGTGGGACGTCCGAGATTGTTTTAAAATTCTGCTTTTGTGCTTTATTTTCTTATCAAAATAATTGAAAAACCGTTTGTTGACGCTGTCTCCTCCCCATGCCCCTCCAGATGCCGGTATGATCTCTGTTAGTTTCTTCCCGTCTTCTGATACCTCGTGTACGGCGATGTCTACGGTCCCACCTGCAGTAGTAAGAAGACTCTGTCATTGATACCCATATGATGTAGCATACTTAATATCACCATGTTTGTCCGAAATGTGAGATTCTATCCTACTTCATAGTGTTTATTCTTTCATAAGTTCGCAAGTTTTCCCGTCGTTTTGTGTACCTGGACAAAACAATAACTCAATTGCTCTGAATTAAAAGCGACGGGTCTTTTCAATGCAGTGATGATTTTTTCTGCTTTTCTCTTTCTCTTTTCTTTTTAACCAAGTAATGAAGGGAATCCTGCATGTACAATATCAAATCTAAGAAATATCCGAGTAGAGCTTTATGAGAAATAGATTAAATAAATTTTTTTTCGTGAGAAAATACAAAATTGAATACAATTACAATTTAAGACCAATAGGAACCTACACATCAAGTTTTCAAAATATCTGAAGGTCATTCTTATTCATTGAGAGTCTAAAAATTAAATAGTTATTACAAAGGACCATGGAGAACATACAATGATTGTACAAAAGACATACAAGTGAAGAGCACCTTTTCATAATTTAGAGTGATATACAGTAGAATCACACAAATAATTAAACTGCATTATACAGCTGTTTCGTCCTTATAAGACTCGTCAATAATGCTGACATTTTGAAGCCTATGTATGTTTTAACAGTGACCATTAAATATCTAAATACACTAAATTCTCTTTTTTCCAATGAAAAAGATCAGACAGGATCAGATTATGTTACAATCGCGATTTGGATAAGACTCCAAATTAAATTGTTACATATCTAATATAATCTTGTAACAGAAACATGGCGCCATCATTGACGGTTCACCATCATCATCATCATCATCATCATCATCATCATCATCATCATCATCATCATCATTTGGATATACAAGTTTACATATTTGTACAACTCTAACGGTTCTGAATTAATCTGTAAGATCAAATACTGACTTAATCCTCAAAGAAACAAGCATTTTCATTTATTTATATTTTCATGTTACATGTGTATATCCAATAGCATAAAAAATGGAGCAAAGCCACAATTGGCCGGGTCGCGGGATGAGTGCAATGTTATAAAGTATTTTAAGGCAGTTAAGGGTGTTTCATTTGTTGAGTATGTAGAATATTTGTTATAAGAGAGAAGGTTTGGTTGCATTTTATGAATTGGTGCAGAAGAAGTTACAGCCATTTTTTATTCGGGAATGTTAAAAAATAGACAATGGACATCTAGGGCCCTTTCCTGCCAAACTGCGGAAATGACTAAGTTCCAAAGCCCGGAAAATCCAGAAGAATTTCCGGAATTAATCCATAATAAGAGGTGCACATTTTCAACATATATAGAAATATCCTACGAAGTTTCAAGCTTCTACGTCAAAAACTCTAGAAGGAGTTGATTATACAAAACTGGTACCCCTTTTCCCCGCCCGCCAAGTCGCCCGCCCGACAGTCAACGCACTATAACCCGGATTTGCACTAAGTACAACCTGGCCAAAAATGACATCATTTTTTAACGTCACATTTGATTGGCCAATGCAGTGGCAACAGAAATTATCAAAGGAAGGGGTCTTTATAAATATGATAATAAAAAATATTGCAATCAAAAAAACTATCTGTTATAGAAATGGGATGTACTCTATATTTAGAGTATCCTTCGTTTTTTATGTTACCGTTGAAAATCAAAGAAGTTCCTTTAAGTTATATAGTTGCGCCATATAAACTGGTGACGTGAATATCTTGTCAGTAGGGTCATAGCGCGTGCCAGTTTGTTCTATCACCCCACGTGAGAGAGTACAATATCCTATCTATCCTATCCTTGGCTAAACAGGATTACTACATGAAATATACGAGAAATAGTAATCTTGCCTCCCATATCCACAATCATGTACCGACCACCCTGATTGAGGAAGCCAAGTATATCATTCTCGTCCTTGCCACCACGTGTAGTCGGGAGATACCGACAATACAGCGCTGCAGCCTCTGGTTCCAAGGCTAGCAACAATTTGTCTTCGTCTATCCCAGTCTGAAACACAATATCAAATTTGATAATTAGAAGAACCCATGTACAACTGACTGACACCGAAAATATGAGCAAATACTTTTTTATCTGAATTTATGGCGTGGAAAGTCACCAGGTGACAAAGAAATCCTGTTTAAATTTGTGTAAAAAGCTCTTTATTCATAGCCTATTATAAAACAGATTGATATACATTTAACTCACAGCACTTTCATAGATGAGGACATATTTTTAAAGATAACCTAGATTGGACGTCATCAAACGAGATCAAAAATATTACGTACAAGTCAGAATTATTCTGACATTCTATCAAAACCAGATCGACATAAAAAAAGTGATAGAACGTCAGAATAATTTAGACTTCATACGTACATGAATACACAGACTAAGAGGATGACATAAAACCATAACACGAATTCAATTAATTACAGTCGACCGGCACAAGTACGAACTATCTTTCACCCACATCTCTTATATATAAAAAAGGCAATCGGACACAATGCTTTCCTCTGTCTGTCCGTGACACTACCGAACAATATTGTTTGACGCTATATATATTCTAAAACTTCAAAACGGTGCCAAATTACGTGCGTTTCATATATACAACAGCAACAGCGTGATAAAAATTCCATAGCAAAAACATGCATGTTGTGTCAGACGAAATGATACAATAGGAAGTACTTTGCTAGTACAAATTAGTAATATTGGAGTGTCGTGTTCATTACTGTAAAAACATTAGTTTTCGCGGGATTTTATTTTCATTTCTTTCGTGAGTACTTTATTTCACGGATATATACCCGTCCACGAATTGATGGAAATAACAATGCATATTTTTGGCTTATAGTTCCGTTTAATAAGCTTGCCTTGATTACTGCCTCCCTCATGAACTGCTTAGCGGGTTCAGTCCAGATAGCAGGAACTGTGATGACCCATGTAATATCTTTCTCCGACACACGGTTTACTTGATGTATAGCAGCTCTCACGAGATAGCCGAGACTTTCCGAGAATACTGTGATGGCAGGAAGAACTTTCCCGGACTGGTCAGCCGTCACTAGGTCTCGTGAAAGCTTCTGAATAGAAAAAGAATCACTATTCGAAACAATGACAGATGTTTGTACGATAATTTTTTATCTTTTGTTGGCCCTAATGATTTTTTATGTGTTTACGGACAGTTAAGAATATAATAATAATAACAATATTTGTACGATAACTTTTAATAAGGGATATCCACGATACACAGTGTAAACATTATCCGACGGTCAAAAAAATTTTTGACGATATTTTTTTATATGTAAACTTTCAAAAGTTCGGTTTAAATTTTAATTATATATATTTTTAAATGTTGTATCAAACAGGGCGTTTATTTCTCATGAAAGTCAGGGAAAATGAATTTCGTTTGTCTCATTTACAATTTTCAGTTTTCACGATTATATTGCATTCCCCCCAAAAACGTAAAAATAAAACCACTTAAATGATCGCGAGTATTAAACATATTGGAGGTTCATCTGATCATTTTCCTGTCACACCACAATGAAATAATTATTTTGATGTGAAAGACAAAATAAAAAATATACCGAAGTTAACAATCGTTTTTAATGATGCATTAAAAGATGAGATCCTAATAACCTGAATCCCTCACCTGGTATTAAAAACTTTTCATGCATACATCAACATTTCACATTATTGACATTGAAAGTCTTGGTCAATGAGGATAAATCGTTTGAAGATTTTAACAAATTTGAATGGGGTTCGATGTCACCTTTTTCTCAAATTTTATCCATCTACATTCTTATAACATACCAACCGCATGTTAATCAGAACAAGTCATTTAAAGGTTTTGACAAATATGACCTCTGTGACAGGCCAATAACGATTAATTTCCCGACTTTTTCTGGCTTCATTTCCAGAAACTACCAGCCATATTTCAGGACTCAAGGCGTTCTGGTTCAATCAATTTGGCCCCTGAGACCTCGAATATGGGTCAATGGCAATTCCTTCGCATATTGTATCATGACATTAGGAATTTTGTTTATTGAGAATAAGTAATTAAAAACTTTCAACAATTAAACTACTATGAGTCCCAGTAGGAGTAAAGTCAGTATGGCAAACTTCATAAGTTTTTATCCACGGAACCACAGGGACTTTGCATGAATTTCTGACCCTTGGTCAATAAATACAATATATATATATGGTCCTTTGGATTGTAATCCGTGACAAAATATCCCGATTCCATGCTTTCTTCGTTAATTAGAAGTCCTTCAAAGGCTTCAATAAATTTGGCTATTGTTACAAAGAATTTCGGCAAAAAGGTCACTTTTTTCACAAGTTTGTTGGACATTCTCCTTTTCAGTCAATTTCATGATTGTAGGCCTTTACGTTATTGCGGAGAAGTTGTTTAAAGATTTTCATAAAACTGGATCTCTATAACCTAAAATGGGTCCATGCAATCGTTTCTTTTTTGTGAACTCAGGAATTTTACACCAAAATATCATGATTCTAGATATTTTGGTTACTGAGAAGATCACACCACACCATGGCATAAGCTCACTTGGCTCTGCGGGACTGGTGAGCTAAAAACAGGCAGGTTTATTTCAGTACTGGGTACGTCTATAGGCTGTGTTGTCATCGCCAGGTAACGCGACAGATTTCGTTCCTATCTTTTAACTTATCGACTCCTTATTATTTCTGAACTAGAAACACATTGTACACTGTATTGGTCGAAATATTGCTCATTCAAAACTACTTACCATTTTGTCGAAGAGCTGCATTTTAAATTTACTGAAATAGTACCAGCCCTTATGTTTTTTGTACTCTGTGAGCTCAGAGAATTTTTCCTCTGCCTCGTATCCAAATGAATAGAACTCCTTATTTGGATTAAACAGTGCCACGGTTGGAGCTTTTACGGAGTGATTTCCTGCAATGCCCGATGCCCAGCTGTTGTGGAAAATTTCCCTGGCGTTGTTACTCTTTTTGTATTCGTCTCTGTAGGTAAAAGCATATCCCGAGTATGAAGTGCCGAAATCTATGGCCACCACCGCGTGTGGCAAATCTGTGTTGTCAGCCATTACATCTAGAAATTCCTGTTGGGAAAAAAGATGATATGTGCATATTCTTAGAATTAAGCTTTGTACATCAATGGAATGATTAAAGCTTGAAATTGATGTAGCGCCGAGTATTTTCAGTGTTTACATCCGTGGCAAACGTTGTCACGTGACCGTTTATTTTCGTTTTGTGGTGTCATGTGATTCATTGTCACGTGATCGTCTTGTCCTACTTTCGTTTTACCTGTAATGGGTGTGTTGTTTGTGACGTATTGTGCATGTATTGTCAATCACATGTCCATCATTTGTGCTGCCTTGACAAGTTTGACTGACCCCTGACATGGTAGGAGACACGTTCTCCACGCTGATTTTTCACCACATGCAGGGTAAGTGGATAATTTAATGTATCATATTTGTAAATAGTTGCTAATGATTAAAACCTAATTATTATGCTTGATAAAGTTAATACCTTAGCTCTAGAGTCCTATAAACGTATTTTTGATACTTATAAAATAACAGCTAAAAGCAGTCGTTATTTCCTAAATATTTCTTTATTATATCCCTAAGTCTAATATTAGCTATGACCCTAATATTATTCAAAAATGTCAGTGTAATTATCTTTATTGGTTATATTTCCAAGCTTGTTTAGAAAGTCGGTGGAAATTGCGTCAAGTATCGTCCTTATAGTAATGTGTATTGAAATGAAGGTCATGTGCGTTCGTGTGTGATTTGTACTTGTGAATTATTTTAAATATATTTTACAGGGATTTTAGTTCTCGGATGAATAAACGTTGCCAAGAACTAAACCGGTCTTAGTCGTCTTGTCGCTCCTGGCAAAAGAACCATAGACGGATTGTTACACTGACAAAACGAAAGCACCATGTTAAAACGGAGATTCTGGGGAACCCTGCACCCTCTAATGCTCTATCAAGCTTTAACGTAATTTCCCATAATAATTAACGTTTTTATTTTCAACGTTAAAATTAAACATCAGAATAACGTTTTTAAAAATGTTAAAATGCTATCAAATTACAACAATATTCTGATGCTAGGTATTTTTAACGTTATTGCAATGTTAACTTTTACTTTAGAAGAAATCCGCAGAATTATCTCATTATAATAACCTCTCTAAAGTTTGACGAAAGTAGATAGGTAACACAATGATTTTCTACCATAACCTACTCCAATAACACGGCGATTGTAACTCGCACCGTGTATCCTCTAACTTCCCAAATGCGATTTACCCGATGCTGACAGTCACGTGCTTTAACTTCGGATTTCGATTATATTTGGCATTGTTGTATTAATTTTAATGTTCAGAGATGTCATGTACATACCCTTTTTAAACTATCATCATACAATCCACTGTAACACAAGTCTAGATATGAAATGCGTAATTCGTTCACAACATCAAAAACGAAAGTAAAAACTACGTAACTACCCCGGTTACTACAAAAATGAAATACATAACCAAAAATAAAGCGGAATGATATTTTCTGCGTAATATGAAATTATCCCAGTGAAATAATGTAGACATATACCTATACATCAAACTCTTAAAAACGAAAAGGTCTTTTTCTGTAGTTTGGTGATCATTACAGGTACATAAACAACGGGACGCGGGCTATGTATTGGGATTTACAGGTATATGAAGTAGATATCAATTTAAAGGGAAAAGTATATTCATAAAATATGTTGCTAGTCGGACGATTTCTGCTTTGAAAAAGTATATAATATTTTAACTGTCCATCCATACGTCCGTATCTGTCCAGATGGCTCACAATTTTTATCCACCACCTCTGACATGTGCTTTTCCCTGAAAGCATTTTAAAAAAAGATTAAATGTCCTTCATTCCATGACCTTGAATATAGGTCTAGGTCATTTCCGTGTTCAGAATTATCAGGCTTCATCCCAGGAATTTTCCAGCAAAATATCATGACAATATACCCTCGAGGTATTGAGAAGTCGGTTGACAGTTTCAAGAAATTGGACCCTGTGACCTAAAACAGTGGTCTGTATTAACTGTGTGGGGCTTCTTCCCAGGAACCTGCAGGGCACCTATTTAATTATCAAGGATTTTTAGGCTTCTAAGTGATTAAGAAGTCGTTTGAAGTTTTAATGAATCTGACCCTTGTTACCCTAGATATAGGTCAAGGACATTTTTTCGCACATTTTTAATTAAAGACCAAAGGGAACCTACATATGAAATTTGACAGAGGACCATCAAGCACTTTTCAAGAAATAGCGATAACAAACTTCATTGAAAATATCCAAGATGGTCGTCTGTCAACCATTTTGTTTTATGATCAGTCCCAAAATCAAAAGGGCTTAAATAGGGACTAAGCAAGGGGAACCTACATATGAAATTTGAGTTCGATCCATCCAGTATTTCTCAAGAAATAGGGAATTACCAAAATCTATTTACGAACGCACGCAAGTACGGACAACGTGCCATGGACGTAGGGCGATTTGAATGGCCCATCATCTGGTGATGATGGACGAAAATTGCTGAAAAACTGTGGAAAGAGATAACCAGAAAAAAAAATGGACAGTACCACACAGTAACATTGTTCATCCAAATGTCTAACTGTTGTATAAAAACACAAACGTTAAGCAAGATATTCTATAAAAGTTTTTTATTTGGAATTTGGACTTGGCTTGCTTTTCCTCATACAATAACAATTTTCCCTTAAATACTTTTTTTTGCGAAAGTTGTTTCAATTTAATATATATAAAAATCCAAAAACAACCATAGATAGGATTTGCTATTGGCTCGCTGTACATTGCATTTACTTAGAATGGACAACATCTAATCCTGTGTTTTGCTATAAATATACAGTAAGATGATCACTTTGTTTATTTAATCCATTAAGCTTTATACTTTACATTTAAGGACATGACTACATGTTTGTGTGTACACATTGTAAAATATTCTGTTTTAACATTCGGAGAAAAAAAATCCTAAAAAGAAAAAAAATTGAAAATAATAAAAGTTTTGAAATTGTATCTTGATAAATTCTAAATGAGCTGTCTCCATTAAATATGTAATTGGGTATGATTTCTTCCTTAAACTATAAACGATGAGTTGATTTTTCACAGCATGCAATCAAAGATTTTAGTATGCTTAATTGCATATCATTTTTTGCTAAGTGTAAATAAAAATAGTAATCATTCTCAAACCTCATCAATACACATTCAAACAAAGCTCTAAATTTGTTGTTGACACAAAATGCATAATAGCAACAGACAAAGTGTTCACTAGCATAAAACAATAAACTTAAGGAACAAATAACACATAATCCTTGTAACCTTTGTGTAAGTATAGAAAGATTTTTTTTTTTTTGAGAATCTACAGTGTGTACATGACTTCATCTTTCTAATTTTTCTCGATCAACAATTCTATATAAGAAAGAGGACTTGTGTTGAGATAATAATGGTCCACAATATCATTCTAGAGGCAAGAGTCTACAATGATCAACAATGGCTGTAACTACCAACAAACTCATATTTCAACAAAGTGCATATTCAAGAAAACAGAATAAATAATAACAAAACGATTGCATCCTTGTGATAGCATTAATGCCAGTGAGGTTAAAATCAACACAAAAAATCTACTTCATAGATACTTAAGATATCCTAATCACCAGCTTGTTCAATATTCTAATTGGAGGAATTCAAAATTAACAGATTTATTTTAAATAACAATATATCTTTGAATTTTTTTTTATATACCTGGTATATGACTGTTAACAGATTCCTTCAGATGAAGAGGGTTCAATGACTAAGAACCGTTTAGATGGAAGAGAAATAAGTGTGTGATACAAACAGAAAGTGAACAGATAAATTAATGTTAAATTTGACAAAGTAATAGACGCCCATTTACTCAGAATTACATAATGTGACTTTCTTTTGACATGGTGAACTATTAAGATTTTAAAGTGCGTCTTATCCAATAACTGATTACATTTTCTTTCAATCTATTAAAAAAAAAAAAAAGAAGAAGAAAAAGATACAGTATGTGCAAATTTATCAGGAGCCCTGAGAAGCAGTGTAAGATAGCATGCAAGGCGCAAATACTGTTTGTTTAAACAAAAAAAACAAAAAAACAAAAAAACCCAAGTGATTAGAAGAAACAGCCTTACTTAAATTTGTGAAAAAGTTTACATTATTCAATGTTTATGCTTACATATTTCAATAGTTTAAAGTGTGGATATATCTGTACATCCCTGCAAACATTTTCAATTTTTTTATTTCAACTAATTTAAAGTCATTAATTTTCAAGAGTGTTTAGTTTTCATGAATTCCAATGATGTTCTTGATCGAAGCATTTATATGCATATTGAAATAGTGACATGAATGTTTGATATCAGTGGATTTCATGGTTCCTAATATTACCAAAGAAGAAATCCATTTCTGATAAAAAGATCATTTTTGGAAAAAAGCATGAAACTTCAGCACCATAGACAATAATTACCCCCCGGTATAAAGAACTTACAATGACAATATTAAATGCCCTCATGTCTATTATTTTTCAATTATAGTAACAAGTCAATTTGATTTCGAAACTTAAAGTAATTAAGAATCATTGTCAAATGGCTAATAGGTAACATCCTCAATACATGGCATCATTGGAGGCACAAGCAACATACTTTGATTGGTCCAGAGCATGTTTCAGGAGAAAAAAACTGACCAGTCATAGACAGAAATGCTCTTCTGATGAATACAAAGGAGCTGCATTCAACTTCAAAGCCATTACAATATACTGTTATGTGAACTCAAGATTTTTTTCATGTACATCAAAGGATAAAATTAGTCTTCTCGTCTTATCCACAAGGTGTTACATGAGGGACCTTCAATTGTGCAATGAAATTTTCCAAGGGTTCAGACAGTGATTGTGAGTGTAACCCATAAATTATCAAGGATGACCAGGAAATAAAAAAATAATGTTCATTTCATAAACTTTCTCCAAAGGAAATCTTCATATTTTCAAAACTACTCAACAAATGTGAAGAGAATTGTGAAAAGTGTCACCCTAATTACAACAGCTTAATTACATCTGGAACACAACCTACATGATATTTATACAATACAGATGTAATATGGTAGCTAGTGGATGGAACTGATACTTATATCGTTTTACATTGGTTTAAATATAGACCATTTATAAACATAGTAAAAGATCTGAGATTGGAGGCAATCCTGCATCTTCTTGAGAAAAATTATCAGTCCAACAAAAATTGTCCAAAAATAAAAATCTTTCATTTTAAAGACGTACATACGATTCCGGTCCTCCAAAATGTATTTTATGTAATCTTTTAATGTTATTATCGTTTTACAAATTTACCATTTAACATTAAGCAATAACTCAGGTTCCTTTTGTGTTTAGCGTAATTAAGGTGAAAATGATTTCAATGCTAACTAATACAGAAATTATGCAATGCATATCATATATAAACGGTACGGCAGCAACCCCTGAAACCAGCTTACCAAACACTAAATTCTACTTTCATATAGAATTGGTTGCCAACATGTTTCAGCTATAGCTAGGTTGTCATCATGGCACAGCTTACAAGCATATGTGGTACAAATGAATCTAGGAGTGACAATGGAGAAGAAACAGTTTAAATTTTACAAAAGTCTTTCAAAGATCACCTACAATGATAAACTGTGAGCTGATAGAGAAAAGAATGACTACCAATATCAAAAAATCATGTAATTGTAATCAAAATTGGGTGAAAACTCACCTCAGCAATGTTTGGGGCTCACTGCCTATTTTTACCTTCCTGACAGAAATACTGTTTCATATTGAAACAATTTGACAAGTGATTTTCTTTACATTTACAAAAAAAAAAAAAAAAAAAAAATTAAAGTCTATTACTTTAGCATAAAAAATCTAAGTACATGTACAAAGATGGGTTTGGCATAAAAACCGAAGTACAAAAACCAGGTCATTCCTTTAACCTATTTTCATGAAATGAAGGTTAACCCTTTCAGTAACTGGCATACCAAATATCAGCTATTTGAATACTAAAGCTAAATCTGATAATGAAATTCCCAAATAAAATGGCAAATTTTTTTGTGAAAACAAAAGTTAGAAAACAGAAGAAATATTTTTCATCAATGTCATTCATAGAAATCCTCATCATCATGATATAAGTAAACTGATGGTTACATTGGATTTTCAATATCTTCTATAAAACTTTTAACCAAAGCTGATGCCTACATGACAAAATTGATGCCAACTTATATCAGCTAAAATACATACCTAAAACTCCTAATTTTTGACTGAGCAAGCTAACCAATGAAATCTTATTTCATAGCATATTTTTTTACTGTAACATACAATGACAGTCTTGTTATAATTACATGACAATGAAAGAGACATTTTCTGCCTTATACAAACAATGCTTATGATTAAACAAGGTACTTTTTGTACCAGGTGAGCTAAAAATTTTAACCAAGAAAAAGAGTATGATGGAAAGGTCCACATGACTGATGATGGGAGGATCCACCTGAGTGATATTTATTTTGAATACATTATTCTCGTTTTCAACCGAGATACAACATTAATATTTCACATAAGAAACATTAACAGCCATGCCAATGAACATTATCCAGATCATGATGAGATAATTCAATCAATCAACTTATTTTTAATTCTTATTAGGAAAAATAAAAAAAAAAAAAAAAAAAAAAAACAAGTATGTAAGAAAATGAAGTTTTGATACTGACAGCAATTAATGATGAAGTTAACATTTCATTTGTGGGAAAAAAAACCACAAAGAGGTTTTCACAATAATTAAATTGAAAATTAAACTCCTCAAAAATTAAAAAAAAATAAAAACAATATCCTGTTGTCAGTCACCTGTTCTGTAGTCATGGCAACCGAAATGAAAAAGTTACAGAAGATAAGTAGTATTAACAAAACAATCACCATTTCGTCAAATATCAGTAACAATGGCTGTGTGCAGGCAATGATCAACAAGTGATGAGTGTAATAAATAGTGAAATAACAACAAGGATGACAACGTATCACACACACACTCTCTAGTCCAGCCTCCATACGTCAAACATATCTCACTATTTCTTCTTACTTTTCGCAATCCAGTTACATTTTGCATTCATCTGACCTGAATTCTACCCTAATAAAAAAATGTCTTTTATGTCTTTGTTTTTCATAGAAAAACAATTTTCCGTCATTTTTACTTCAATCATTCAAGATTATCTTCAAGACACAAACTGTTTGTGAGATGAAGATGCCCTTTTTTTCAAACATTCAAGATTTTCTTCATGAGACAAAATGAGAATTATTCTGCTTGTACAATTTTGTTTAGCTTTCAACTGTTACTTCTAGCCGCAATTTCTGACCAGTGAAATATCTCTTCCACATCAGAAGAGATATATATATTTTTGGGGTATCACCCATAGAATCTAATTGATGATTGGCTTAGAAGCAATAAGCAGGACACTGAACCACTGAGTCTGTTGGCCAGGTACCTGTTTTACTGGAATAGCCCTAATGGGACAAAATATCTCTGGAGTAAAGCTTTTGTATTTTGCTGTACAATTTTTACAAGTTTTTCCTTGTGAGTTAAAAAATTTGTGAGAAGACCTGTTTTTTGTTTTTTTGATCGTACAATTCTACTCCACTTTTTTCAAATTTTCATTTTTTTTTCGTGGGATAAAATGTTAGCGACGTGGAGATCTGGTTTCTTGTTTGACAATATCAAAGCACTGAGATCATCTATCTGTGGTATAAGTGTTCCTCTAAAACACCAACCTCTTCACTAAGCCACCTGTCAAACACAAAATATTCAGTTAAATCAGAACTGTGATTTAGTGGAGATAATATTCAATTAAGACTATCATACACAAACACTTCACCAAAACATCATAATCAAAAATCCACATCATCTTCTATATTTCCTAAAATTCCCCTATTGGGCCCCATTCCTATTGTCCCAGGTGACCAAGACCCAGCGTTAATGAAATATTACCCTCCCTTCACTCAAGTATGCTTTAGACCCTATTGGGACAGAATCCAGACATTCCTACAAAAGACAAAGTATTCTAAAGAACTTGCTCTATTTCCCATATTTAGCCCCACCCCTCTTGCTCCACAGGGCTGAGAACCTCCATTCATACAAAATTATTTTTCCCTTCATCAAAAAGGAGGCTTCACACCATTTTTGGCAGTAATTCAATTATTCCTATTGGAGGAGAATTCTAAAGAAATTGCTCCCTCTCCCCTATTGGACCCCATTCCAAGGATCCCGATGACTCAGCATAAAAACAATATTGATTCCCTTATCCAAGAAAGGTTCAGACAAAAATTTTGACAAAAATCCAATAATTTCTAAAGGAGGAATAGAATTTTAAAGAAATTGTCCTTTTACTCCTATTAGGCCTTGTCTCCCTCGTTCAGAGGGCGGAGACCAACTTTTACATCAATCTACTCCTGTTCACGCATGGATGCTTCAGACCAAATTTGGGCAATATTCATTCATTCTTACAGAAGGATTAGGATTTTAAGGAACTCCCATTTTGGGCCCCACCCTTTGGGTCCCAGGGGGTGTACAACCACCATTTACAGCAAATCTGCTTTGCTTTCCTCAAGGATGATGTTGAATAAATTCTAATTAAGTCTGCTTAATCATTTATGACTATTAGCAATTTGAAGGAAAAGTTGACAGAAAACAGATGCTGAAATTATGCTCCAATTTACCTCAATTTTTTTTGTAATCATATATTTTTTGTCAGCCTCCCTAATACAACTTTATTTTCATTCTGAAACTGTAATACAATACTGTTCATTGAATTTTAAATTGGTTTAAACTCTAATTTTCAATATTATTTTCTGATACAAAGACTTCTATTTAATATTCCTTTGAACAGTATTTACAATTTTTACATATCTGTGTTGACATCAGTTTCATACCTGTATCACCTTGAAGTTTTCGTTTGAGACTAAATCTATTATCAAGCTGGTTCTGGTCCTTAATTTTGTTACTGCCAGGCATTGGGAGTAGATGGCCTGGGGTGGGATGAGGCTTTGTGCTAAAGTAGTCCATCTGTAATGCCTGGAAAACCAACAACACAATACATATATGAAAACTTCATTTCATTCTTTAGTGTTAGATGATTTTTAATCATCTGGGCCTGGGAGGGAAGTCAAAACCCCAGACACTTATCTGGAAGGCATATGTTACCACTGTGTCATTTGGCTACCAATCATTCAAATATCATTTCTGCAATGAATTAACAGAAATTGTAATAAATCAGTTAATTCTATTTATATTGCTATCGGCAATGAACTTATTCTCCTGGAGTTATCTTACACATCCAAATTCAATAACAGTTTCACAGAAATAAAAAGAAATGATTAGAAAAACATAGTTGTTTCATTTCAACAGCTTGTTTTATTAATTTATTGCTTCCTTAACTTCATTATTTGACCCAACAAGCTACTGTATCAACTTCTAAATTCATATCAAATGATGTTATTTACTTGTTTGTGTTTTTGTACAATCTTTCAACATAACCTGGATAATTTACGCTACAGCTATCAGTAAAACGTTACCGGTGATAACAATAACAATAAAGATTACAAACCTGTGTGGCCGTGCATCGCTTTAATGGATCCATCTTAAGAAGCTTTGATAAAATCTCTAACAAATCATTTGATGCTGCGATAAAAATCTCACGTAGTGGCGTTCCTGGAAAATCTTTAAATTGCACATAGTCTGGTAGATCGGCCATGTTCTGAAAGGACGAAGGCCAAGTTACTCTCAATTCAAAGGGTTAAGGGTATTTTATTGATATATAATGATTTTCCGTAAAGTAACTGTGTTTACATGTCACAGTTAATTCAATATGAATGGGGTTGTTCCCAATATCACAATATAATGACATAAAATATGTTAACAACTCACAGCACAGAGAAGCAATGGACACTGACTGATGTAGACTATAGATAAATTTATATTCTATATCCCTGTGTAATAACAAGTCAGATTTGTTGGATGCTTGTTGTTTTATACCTGGTGCCCATGTGACATTCCCTGATTGGACTGACCAAAATTTATATGGCTAATGTCCTTGATGCAGCAGTACACTTGGTCCTAATTTTCTACTTGTACTTTACTAAAAGTCTTTGAGAAAATCTTCATTTTGTTCTGATTTTGCTAATGTTTCATCAATTTTAAGTTAGAATGAAGAAATGAACAAGTTGGTATTTCTTTTTTGTTTTCATTAACATTACTAAAAGTAATTGTTGATCAAATGGATTTGGAAGTCTATCAAAGAATTAACGTCAACAATGAAACAGACATCAAACAAGTGGCCCAATGATCCTTCATCACTTAATAGTTCTTCTCACCACCGTGAAAATCAGATTCGTTACTTTCCGATTCAATTACACCGGTTAATTATGAGTTACCCTTTAACTATTGAAAACATAAAAAAAAAACCTGGTAACTTTAAATCTTAAATATAACGAAATTTTGAAAGATCAAGGTACTGTATACCTTCAAATTGTTTAAATTCTGATTTTCAACCAGTACCATATTGGACTTCTTTGCCATTGAAAGTAAGTCAACACTTGACATTACATCACTCTATAATGTTAAAAGCATGTCAATTACATTGCTCCACAATCACTCTAAGCCATTATTTAATGAAAGTATAACATGTTTGTAAAACATGAATGCCGTTGCTCTTATCCAATAAGTTTTAAGTGTAAATCTTGATTTGGAATGGAATGTGATGTGACAGGACAGGAAGGATAACACTTTATACCTCCTCATAAACTGTGTAGGGACATAAAAGAAAGCTGACATGGATGTAAATGACTTTGACTCAGAATACGCAAAAATTCGTGAACGTAAACAAGAGAGCAATCCCTCACCAGGACATACAGCAGTACTTACCGGCCAGTCTTCTTCACCGGGCGTGCCCAGCGTCTGGAATATCCGGCTCAGCTGATCCAAATCTGTGTCACCAGGCAGGAAAGGCACCTGTATATACAAGCAATGACTAGAATTTAAGTCCAGTATCGTCAGGGCAAAGACACAAACAAATTTAAAAACAGAAAAAAAAAAGAAAAATTTTGTTGAAATATTAAACACTGACTTAAACGCACTAGTGATATATCTATCCTGGAATAAGCTTAAGCCACAAATTTAACTCCTTGCTTTTAAGTCAGATGGCCACCTTATAAAAGGATAATAAGAAATAGCCTTCATTCATAGTTTTCCATTAAACAGCAATATATGTAAAAGTGCTTGTAACCAGTCATAGGTTCATTCTGGTAGAGATATGATAAGTGACTTTTAGAAACAGATAAATACAACTTGTAAAATACTCTCTAACATACATACACTGACTCCTAATAAATCAGTCTAAGACAAACCCGCATTCCAATGAAGACTTATTCATTTAGTTCTTAAAGAAACAAAGTCGATTGAATGATGACATTGATTTTTTTCAGAACGAGACAGAAAGGTCTGATACGGGAATCTCTATACAACTGTATTACCCCTTCCCCACATAAAATAGTATGAATTATTAGAAAAACAAAGAAATAAGAAAAAAACCCAAACAGGAATTAAAGTTTCATATAGACTTATCATCCAAAAGTTCCCATTTAACCTTATTTTTATTCTCCTTTCACTGCTCCAGAAAATTTCTTAAATATGGACACTGATGTTAATAATTCATCTGGGTTCATAGGCAGTGGAAACCAATTCTCACATTCATATTCATTCTATATGAGATTGATTGAACACATCACATGTTTTTATTTTTTTTGTATAACTCTTCAGATTCAGTAAATTAGTTTTATAAGAAAGGGAAACACAAGAAAGATTCTGTTTATAGCATCATTTTGAGCATTTGTAAAAACAGAACTTTTACACCATTGATATGAAATCTATATTGTTGATAATCTCATGATTACTCCAGGTCTTTTTCTTTGATGATGTCACAATGCACATGACATCATGCAGCTCTGATGTCACAATAGAAGCAATATGAATCCTCCAACAATAGAAGCTCTGCAAGGTGGTATTACAAAAAATGTTCACAATGAAAGCTGCTTGCTATGATGGAAGTTGTAGTGCACTGTAGTGTTGTTTGTTATATGTTAAACTGCCTTCCAGGAAACAATTGATATTACAAGCAGGTATTTCCTTTCTATCTTTATACTGGTGATCACCGAGCTGTGTATGTATACTGACCCTCCGTAAGAGTTCCGCCAGGATACAGCCGACTGCCCACATGTCCACTCCTGTACCATACTGACGAGCACCAAATAACAGCTCTGGACAACGATACCATCTATGAAAGATCAAAACCAAAAAGGAAATTAAGGAAAATGCAAGTGTTTTACAGATCATTGTGGACTGTTCAGTGTCTCTTAAGGGATGAAAAATATTGATTACTTTTACAATCCAAATTGCCTTTATATTGATACAGTGTATCATATAATATACATGTACTATCACCTTACGAAGTAGAACATTAAATTTTGGGTTTGATAAAACACTGACAAAATCTCAAGGAATTCTGCAGCCATCAAGTATTTGGGATTTTCAAAATAATATTTTCATTATTTTTTGGATTGAATTTTTTGTTTTGTCTCATAATAAAGCATAAAAATCTTCACATACCTTGTCACCACTTGATGTGTGTAAATTCTTGTTGGGGACCCGTAAAACTTTGCTAGACCGAAATCTCCAAGTTTAAGTATTCCTTGCTGGTTGATCAGTAAATTATTTGGCTTCAAATCCTGGCGAAGTGAGATTTATATCATTGTTAAAACACATTCCTTGATATTTAATCATGTAATTTGACATGTCTCTTATCAAGTACAACATAAAATATAACACCAGTTCAACATTTCCTTCAACATTTTTCTAAAATATCACCCCAAATCAAAATAAATGATTAGCATTTTTGTATTATCTAGTAACCATTTGAATGCTAGCTACGACCCCCTGAAAATGAATTTTGTTTCTGGATAAATACAATTCTTGATTAACACTAAATGTGAAATCTCTAGAAGTTGTATCTAATTTCTTAAAATTTCTTTTGAAAAATAGCCATAATCCATTTGGTCAAACCACTAAACAAAAACTGCTGTGGTGTCCCTATCTTATCAGTACACAACAATGACCCTTGTCTATATAACTATTCATCGACTATGACTTTACTGAATGCAATTTTCGCTGTACACTTTATTAGGGAAACACTTACTCTGTGTAATATCCAGTGTGAGTGAAGGTATTCTAATCCTTTTAGAGTTTGTAGGATATAGGACTTTATATGTCCTGGTGTTAGAACAATTTCATTATCTTTTATAACAATCTGAAAAAGAATCAAGTAAGGTATTATAAAAAAAGATCAGAGAACTTTATGAATATGATGATCAGTTGGAAAAAATGGTGACTAATATACATATACATGAAACATACTAGCTCACATTGGTCTGAAGTCAGTCAGCCCTAAGAATGTTACCTTTATATGACAAGGTTACCCTATATTAGTATCTGCCAAGGAGGAGATAACTCTATAACACAATGAGTAGGGAAAGACAACTGGTATGTGTTATGATACTCTTCACTAAGTTACCCTTTATAAGTATGCATCCCGTGGATAAAGTTTTATTGATACATGTCAGTAAAATGCCTAGTATTAAACAGGAAAAAATTAACACGTGCTTTGAACAATATTTTCTCATATAATTCACAAAATGATCATTGGGTTGCCAGAGATGGGATAATTCTATAACACGAGGTAGGGAAAGACAATTGGCATGCACTATGATGCTAATCTCAATTGGGTAGTGTTGTCGTTTTAAAAAATTGCAATGTCAATAATTTCGACATTTTTTTCTCAAGATGTCATAACAAATAGCTATAGGTTAAATAACAACTTACAATTTGTAATATTGGTAACATTCTACTGACTTAATGTCAAAAGACATCTTAACCGGCTCACACATACAACATAATTTTACTTAAATGATATAGATATTCTTATTTACCTCCAAATCAGTTTCCATAAAATCAAAAACAAGACTGACATTTGATCTGTGTCCAAAGACATCAAGGAGCTAAAAACACAAAAAAATATATAAAAGTTATAAAATGTACATTCATTGATACTGATTGTACTGCAGGATGAATATGGGATACATAAAACCAAAGGCATGAAATCTTACACCATAATTCAGAGTAATTATAACATCACAGAAACAACTCAATAATACAAGTCTGTGAAGCCTTACAGTAACATATTTCAAAGTCATTATTATAAAAATACTGCATTATTACAGTATGACACCCAATCAGTCAAGAGAAAAAAATATTTATATCCTTGCAAAAGAGTTTGGGGGATTTTAACATTCTGGGATAAATTTCTAAATTGTCTCATATTCTGTAAACCTGCCATGCATGTAATTTTCTTTAGAATTATACATTTTCCATCTTGAATCACGAGTCCACAAGCGTTACTTTAACTGACCTATCTTATGACACCCTTTTTGATGTCCTGATCATGACAACAATTTGATATACAGATATAGTCCATGCAGTAATGAATATCAAAATTTATCATAAAATAAATCTCAAGGCACTTTTGAGGAAAAGAGGGAACAGAAAAAATGTCTATAAAGGAGTATGTATGGTTTGGGTACCTATGTACCCCCAATATTTTACTGAGAAAAATTGTCTCAGAAAATCAAAAGAGTGAAGACATTTAATAATGGAAGTGTCCATGATTCTAGAATTGTTTTCAAGATTTAAAAAATATCACCAATTTTTTAATATAGCTGTTTGAAAATTGACAAAAAACACGAAAATCGGTGATTTCCCCCATTTCGTGGGTACATTTTACTGAAGTTTACCATGAGCGCAGGCTTGAACAAGTTTCATATTGATGCTACAAAATAAAAATTTTAATTAAGTCATTGTGTTAAAAGGAAAAACTTGTTCAAGACTGCGCTCATATTAAAAAATTAATTTTTAAAATGATTTTTCGGCATTTTGATGCAAGATCGCGTGTAATATATGGTCCGGAACACGGAAAACGGACTTCGCCGCTATCGATATTTTTGTTTACTGCAGCAGAAACACTCAAATGATGGAGTTAAAACCAACAATTCCTTAATTTTTCACAACCAAGAAAGGTAAGATTTGTTCTTGTTAGCAAAAATTTTTAACTGATGTGATATAAAAAATGAATAGTTTTTTTTATTCATCGGACGTCTGCAGCACTTGATTGCATCATCAGTTTTACGTCTGGTTGACAGATGCCCCAATACAGGTAGACGGCAAAAAATCCACTAACTTTGTGTGATGTTTGTTAAAAAATTTATTCAAATGTCATTTATTAACAATAAAATCTATTTAAAGGTATCTCAATACTTTTTAAAGTTCTGAAACAGTATTATTCTGTGCTGCCAAGCCCAGCTTGAATGTTGTCGATGTTGATCGCCGAACAAACGGTGAAGTGTCGTCTGGACTGAAGGCGAGCTCACAATAAATTCAAGAGTAATTCATTATAAACTTCAACAGAGACTGTGTGTCTTGTTGAAGTCCACTGAAAATGTCTTCTTTCTGTCTGAAAAATATTCGTTTTATTAACTAAGGAAAAATAGAAATGAAAGAGCGCATCTATTTATACTCATTGTCTTGGAAACAGCCAGAGAGAAAGCCAACATAGTCGGTGTATATATACTTTCAAAATAACTTCCGGTTGCATATGCTGTTTCATGGTGTAGTGGTATGAGGGTTGGCTCAGGAGCATAAGCACCGCAATTATGGGATCCAATCCTGATGACCATTGATTTTGTTTTTTTATTTTTTATTTTTTTTATATTCAATTTAAGATATAAAACTATAATACATATTTTCTAGCGAGAACTTTGCAACACATTATTATTTTTAACATTAATTAAAACTATTTGTGTAATTAATTAAGCTCTGACTTCAGATCCTGTTGACAACTCTTATTTATTTATTTTGATTTCAAATAAAAAAATACCTATTCTTAATTTAATTTAAAATGCAACCATGTAGTCTGTTCTTGAAAGTGCTTAGCAACATTTTATTTTTTTCACATTAAGAAAATAACATTTGTAATATTAATTAAACTGTGAGTTCAAATCTTGTTGACAATCCATATTTCACAAACATTTATCGACATTTGTGTGAGTTACAGTTGTGCTGGTGCCTGTTCCTTTTTATTATTTTTTCTTAATTTCATTGTAAAAAACTTAACAACATATTCACTAAATAATGTGTAATTATTGATCAATTATGACAAAAATATGTTATGTAATTTAAATATGAATATAATATCTATGTTTACAACTTTTAATTTCTTATACAATGTATAGAACACACATTCTTTTGAGTTCCACATAAAAAGTTGTCACTTTTATGTTTATATATTCTTTTTATACTTTTCTACGTTACCGTGATTCATATGGTTGGTATAAAGTATTAATATACTTATCAAATATTTCTTTCCAGATGCCAAAAGACATCCCATGTTGCTTGTGCTTCAAAAGGTGTAAACCAAATTCCAGAAGGCATATCCCACCTGGCGTGGCCTTTAAAAGATATGTGGAGCGATGTGTTGGCAGGGACGTGAGTAGCAATGACATGATATGCGGGACATGTACGGCACGAGTGTATAGGAGTCTTCCAATATTTCACCAGACACCTGTAAATACTAATGATGACGAGTACATTTCTCAGCCGCCAAAGAAAAAGACACTGTCGAGTCCTAAAACTATTAATTTGAACCTTCCCGCAACATCAAAATCTCATAAATCATGTATTGTATGTCATAAAGATGCAAACCAAAGAAACCATTTAACCAACATCCCACAACAAGGATCTACTCAGGCCTTCGTAGTATGTGGTATATTCATACACCCCCATAGTAGATGTTGTGAGAGCCATATTGAGAACAATTATCTGAATGAAAATGCGTTGGCATTACTTGGAACCAAGAAATCAAATGACTGGTTTTCAAGAAGTGATATTACAGGTCTTCTCTCCGGAGTCCGAAGGATGCTGTCTACACATTCTGGACATTTGAATTTCGATGTGCCATCATTTTTAACCAATGAAGATTATGTAACATTGACAGGATTTACCAAACAGCAGTTTGACGAAATTGTCACTCATTTGACATCACTTAATAATTCAGCAGTTAGGTCAATCCGGACATGTCTAGCTGTGTTTCTCTTCAAATTACGTAGTGGATTGTCCAACAAGTTAATTGGTGTGTTATTTCATTTAACATATTCACAAATCCAGCGTATAGTGAACAGCACAAGGAATGCCTTAGTGGAAGATTTTGTACCAGATAACCTTGGATTTCAACACATATCTCATGGAGACTTTGTTCAAAACCACACTACAAATATAGCAAAATCATTGTTCCAACCAGGCGAAAACGAGGCTATTGTTGTTGCTGATGGCACCTATGTTTACATCCAGAAGAGTGCAGACTACAAATTCCAAAGGAGGTCCTATTCTATGCACAAGAACAGACCACTCGTTAAACCAATGATGCTTGTAGGAACAGATGGCTACATTCTGGATGTGCTCGGACCTTACCTGGCTGATGGCTCAAACAACGATGCCTCCATTACAAAACACATGCTTAAGGGAAATGAGGAAGCTAGCAAGTGGTTCAAACCCGGTGACATATTCATTGTAGACAGGGGGTTTAGGGACGCTGTGAGGTTTTTAGAAGACCGAGGTTTCGATGTGAAAATGCCCTTCTATCTTCAGAAAGGCTGCAAGCAGCACAGCACCGAAGAGGCGAACCTTTCACGTTTAGTCACAAAAGTCAGATGGGTGGTAGAAAGCGTGAATGGCAGGATAAAACAATGGAAACTGTTTGACAAAGTTATTCCAAATACCCTGATCCCTTCTATTGGTGACTTTGTGAGAATCATCTGTGCTCTTATCAACAGGTTTAAAGAACCACTTGTGAAAACTGACGCAACATCAGAAGCACATTGCAGGGCAATGCTTGCAAAGTCCAAGGAACCAAATACAGTGAAAGCATTTTTGGAAAGCAACAACTTACTAAATAAGAGAACTGTTTATCAAAAGCTGGAAGCAGAAGACTTGATGGACTTCCCTAAACTTTCCATGGATGACTTACGAAACATCACCATGGGAGTTTATCAACTTAAACAGGCTCCAAGTTATACAAAGGAGCACTGTGTTGAAGATGGACTGTATGAGTTGCTGGTCTTCTCAGAAAACCCTAATCTGATCAAGTTAAAAATACAGTCTCGACACTGTAACAGCAGAGCACATTCTTTGTGGATTGAGTATGACTCACTCTCTGATGATCCCATCAAAGGTTGGTACTGCACTTGTAAAGTAGGCTCAAGAGTGGTCGGTTGCTGTGCCCACATTGCAAGTGCATTGTGGTTTCTAGGATATGAACGCTTCCAAGGCAAATCATCTGGGGGCAGTGACTATTTCGACAAAGTCTTTGGCTGATGCAGCTGACATTCCAACAACAGATTCCGACACGGATGAGGAGTATCCAGAGGAATAAACTGTAACACTATATGTATTTAAAGTAGATATAATTTGAAGTCGCTTATCACTTGTTCATTTTCATGTTTGTTAAATTCTGTGAACAAAACCAAAGGTCATACATTGATTATATGCTTCGAATATGCTTTGCTTTCAAAAGCACCAGTGCAGAAGTATGAAGCAAAATAGAAACCGATAACAGCTTCAGGTGATGTTCTTGCTATGTGATAGACTTTGTTGTACACTTTGATTAATAATCAATTTTTTATATTGTGTACACTAGTATACCTTTATAACAAAAATGTTTTACCAATGAAATTATGTGATAAGTGTTTCGCTTTCAACAAGTAACAAGTGGAAAAATATTGTAACAGAAAAGAATATGTTAACAATTACAGGTATGCTATGTGATAGACTCTGTTGCTAGGGTACTAACTTTGATCTGTATCAAAATGTTTATATTATACATATTTCGTAAGAAAAGGTTAGTCCATGTAAAGTG